CCAGCCGATGCGCCACCCTTTCCCTGGCCTGGGACATTCGTCACAGAGGATGTTCTCAAGACACATCTGCAGATGCTGCAGTTCAGGGTACGGGTTTAACGACGGTACGCACCAGACGAGCACGGAGTCAAGGTGGTAGAACAAGAAACCTACTCGGCTTCAACTCCGCCGCCCGAAGCCTGAAGCCCGTTGCATCTTAAGCGAAGTTCCCCATGCATCTTCGCAAGAATACAAGTCGTAAAGCCATCCCCGAAAACTTGCCAACGGCTTGCCCTTGCGCATCTCCCTACCCCTACCTTGCATGTACTTCTGGAAGTCCGATGCGTACTGGGACATGAACTTCTGGTAATCGCCTTGGCTACCTGCATGAGTGACAGCAAAATTGTAGGACAAGGGCATACCGAATACAGGGCACTACATCCACTCCAAATACATCTACATTCCTGTCAGTGAAGCCTACTTCCAAGCATCCGAGGATTGAATGGGGCTGCGGGGTTGCACAATGGCTTCTCCATGGGACGATTAGGCATGAGGGCATCGTTGGACGAGTTTTACTACTCAGTGTGGGGATGTGCTCAAGGCACATCACTCGGGATCACATCTGCTATCCTATTGCCAATGCTGTACTCGACCAGGCAATGTGTTCAAGCCGCCTGGATCGAACACTGCTTTTCCGGTGCAGCGGTCTCGTGCAAGCGGCTGAAGCACAAGCTAGGCAAGGGGAATCTTGCCTAGCTGGGTTCTTGATTGAGCAACAGTAGGTGGAAAGCAACAACTTCATAATTCACATCGGTTGACATGTTCGTCAGCACTTCATCCGCCTTTTACACAGCTCAGTGAACAGAAGCATACGCCCTACGCACTGCTCCCTGGCCACCTCCATGTCCCTTCATGTACTGCTGATAGTCTGACATGTACTTCTGGTAGTCCCCGGCGGCTCCACTGCCCTGGCCTCAGATGCACAGCTAGAAATCTGAGGAATGCCGGATCTCCAAACAAACAGCTGATTGCTTGGAACAGTCGGGTGACACACGGCAAGCGCAAACAATCGGAACCAAGAACATACCTTCAACCAGTAAGGCCGGGTCCTTGAACAACCATTGCAGGCCCTTTTTGCAGGACCCTCAACCTGAGACCCCAAAGCACCCCCAAACCCTGCACCGTAAACTGAGGCCCTAAACTCTAAAGCCTTAGCCTTAACCCGAGACCCCAAACACCACCAGACCCCAAAATATCCCGAAACCTTGCACCTAACACCAACTGCCAAAACAATGCCATTGGGGGAGGCTGATAGACATGGGCCTCGTGCCGTCATAAGGGGTTACCAGGGACTGGAATGGTAAGACCCCAAGGCCTGAAATGGTCGCTGGACCATTCCAGTCCCTAGCTCTCTTAACTGGTAGGAGCCCACCACCCTATCCAAAAAAAAAGACCTTGAAGAAAGTATTGGCAACACGGATAGGGCAAGATTGGTTTCAACGAGCCATCCCAGAAACTGTGGCAGACAAAGCTCAAGACCCCACCAGACCCCTGCACCCAGCAGCCAACTCTACCCTCTTTGCACGTCTTCCCGGCTGCCTTGCATGTACTTCTGGAAGTCCGAGGCATACTGGGACATGAACTTCTGGTAGTCGCCCTGGCTGCCTGTTCAAGAAGAGTTGCAACCTGGTTTCTGCACTAGCCTTGTGAGTTCTATGCTGTCGGATGAGAATCTGCGACTGAAATAGCTTTTCAAACCCTCTGCGACTGATTCCTTCACCCGGCCACGCTGCAGCCATTCCATGGCTTTCGCCCATTAAATATTCATTCAGCGTCTGCGTCAAGTCGTATGCTGTTGCTTGGTGCCTTCGTGCTTTCCACCTGGGCCTTCGACATGATCATGCACTGGCCCCACTCACTTGCCTTGTCCTTTCATGTACTGCTGGAAGTCAGACATGTACTTCTGGTAGTCCCCAGCCGATGCGCCACCCTTTCCCTGACCTGGGGGACATTCGTCACATAGGATGTTCTCAAGACACATCTGCAGATGCTGCAGTTCAGGGTACGGGTTTAACGACGGTATTAGACTCTAAGAAAACGCTTGACGATTCTCCGAAGATGCAAGGAATGCAGGGCCAAACCGTGTGCAATTGTGAGCGAGCATGTCGCTCTTGCAGGTCTTCCTCCCCGGCCTTGCATGTACTTTTGGAAGTCCGAGGCATACTGGGACATGAACTTCTGGTAGTCGCCCTGGCTGCCTGATCAGGTTTTGCTAGCAGGGCAGACGAACAAGGTCTTACTCTGAAGCAGCGGGTCAACACATCTTCCATCAAGCAGCGCCGATCCTTGGCATTTATCTGTTCGTGAAGCTTCGGCAGCTCAATGCTCAGGTTGGGTACTGCTTTGCCACAGAAACTTTTCTCGTATCTCCGCAAGGTCAGGTTCTGAACAACAGCGTTCCATCCTTCCGAACACGAAGCATTGCCAGACTTGCTACCAGCAGTGCAGTGAGTTAGGGATTTGCGTGACAGCTCACGTCCTACACGACAATTGGAAACATACGAAGGTTGAGGGCTGCAGGCAAAACTTCGAGGGCAGGTCAAGGCTTCGGTTCTTGCTCGAGTATCGCTCATGTCAAAACAGTTCGTCTTGGTGGGCCGCTGCACTCGAAAGCAGCCCCTTTCTGCCTCCGTGTCCCTTCGTGTACTGCTGGAAGTCAGACATGTACTTCTGGTAGTCGCCTGCACCGGCGCCGCCCTTGCTGTGTCCTGCAAGGGTATGGGGCCATGGGAGTCTGACGTGCAAGTCTCAACTGACTGCTCGTGTGTCAGGATACCTGCGCGGCCATGACAGCCTGTGTAACAAAGAGTTCAGTATTAAATCGAGACCGGGAGAACCTGCAACAGTGAACTTAAGTTACGATCCGGGCATGCAACACTCCAATCGTCGTGCATCAACGCGAGTTGTATTTT